GGAAACACAAAAATATATAAAAAATTATCGAAAAGTCAGAATAGTAGTTTTGACAAAATTTTAGGAGCAGAGGAAGTACTTTAATTTAATGTTGAATTAATCTCTTAATATAAACTTGCTAACTTAAATGTCACAAGTTTGAATATCTTTCAATTCTCACCACACCCATTTCAAATCTATCAATGTTCCCATGCAAGACTCAAGTAAAAAATAAATCGCATTTGCATGTAGAAAAGTGTAATATAAATAGTACAAAAACTTTTCTACACATATAATCACATATTTCAATTTTTGGTTGAATTAGTTTCTTCATACTTCATCCTTCCTAAAATGATCTTCTCAATTCGGTTTACGAGATTTGACTGAAATTATTTTCAATTCAATTTATTTGATTATAGTTGTATAATAAAAAATAAAAATTGAATATTTTAAAATTACATCAAAAGTTCTATAAAACAAGAAGTCATATGACTATATTATTTTATCAAATAACTAACGAAAATAGATAAGGAAACTGATTAAAGTGCGACCATATGAAAAGTGACTGAGAAAATCATTTTAGAGCAGTATTAAATTTTTATTTTTCACTTTTTACATTTGTAATGATCTATCCTCCGTATTAACTATGCTTGGGAGTGATGGTATTCAACTTTTAAAAAAAGAAAAGAAAAAGAGAAGTATGTTTAATTTTGCACCTAAAAATTTGCCTCAACTTTATCCATCAAACATAGCCCACACACTAGGAGATGCCTATGATGACTACACTAATTTTTTTGTGTGCACTTTGCCACACAAAGGTATCCATCACTTTTATTTTGTTTTTATATACTTTTGGATGCCCTAAATAAATTTATTCTTCTTTTATTTCATTTTTAATAGTGGATTTATGTGTCACACAATAGTTATCTCTCAATGTTTTATGAAATACATTAAAGTAAAACTGTTAAACATTGTTAAAGTAGATGAAGTATATCTTATTATTGCAGTTTTTAGAATAATCACACAATTGTTTAGGGAAGAACTAAATTTAACTTTAATATCAATCTAGCTAAGACAAATTACAAAGTACTAGAATATATATTTACTTTGTTGATGCGCTCTAGTTTAACCTTGCATTTGTTGCGTCTTATTAAAAACTTCTATATAATCAATTTCCTACAAATTATATGAAATTGTAATTAAGTATAATAAAGGTTTAATTTTTACAGGGACAAAACTGAAAAATAAGTATTGTATTTACCTTGTTACAACTAATGTGTTTGTGTTTAATATGCATGTATATATATATTTTTATTGTTAAATCTCGAGACAATTATTTGCAAATTAAATAGCTAATTTTATCAAATATTTTTAATGATCAGCAAACATATTCAGTAAGTCAAATTAGCGAAATTAAGCAGCTATTCAGAATAGTCGTTGCAACTTGCAAACAACCAATATAATAAGTGACAGTCAACTTCAAAAAAATGCTCGTATCAATTTTATTCACATTTCAATTTTTAACATAAACCCTTCGTGCCAAAAACAAAAGTCACATTTTACTATTCAAAAATTACGAGAACTATTGTTTATTTGTGTGTTGTTATTGATTATTTGATAAAATAAATTATTTTTATCACTTCTTATTTTGTATAACTTTTGAAATAGTTTTTAAAATATCTAAATTTTAATTTTTATTTTCTATATATTATCTTTAAATATGATTAATTGGAAAAAATTGAAATTCTACTTTGTTTTGCATAATGTTTTATTCTTTTTTGGATGAAGGAAGTAGCAATTATAATGCTAGCTCCCATCCTAAAACATTCTTTCAACTTCTTCTTTTTTATGACCCAAAACAAACTTACCATTTTCTAAAACAGAGCGGAAAATATAATGACTGTGCTGCCCTTACCATATTTACACCCCAACCATCTCACTCTCTTAATCCTTTCTCCCCATTTCTCTCTTCCATATCAATGATTATTAATTATTGACACAGCTCCACAAATTCATAATGTGGTGTTCAATCAGAGCTGGCCGTTTGTTGCTATCAATGTATCATTTCATTAGTTTGTTCCCTTTCTCGACCGAGACGCGGCAGCCAAGCAATAATAACCCAACATCATCATCATCAACATTGATCAATTGGATTTATTCCCTCCCTCTCAAAAAGAAAAGAATGTTACGGAGTACTCCCTCCATTCCATATTAACTGTCTATTATGACTTTCTTGTTACATTAAAAAATTAATGAATGTAGACATACGTTATGTCTACATTCATTCATTTCTCAATGTACCAAGAAAGTCATAATAGACAGTTAATATGGAATGGAGGGAGTACATTTTATTATTTGAAAATTATGAATTCTTTGATTTATTTGTATGTTTCTATTGATTATTTTGTTAAAATAAAATACTTTTGTCATTTTTCTTTTGATAGATTTTTGACATACTCTGTAATTTTTAAATATCTAAACTTTGTTTTTATTTATATTGTCACATTTCTTTTTTCAATCATTACATGAATTTTTATTTATTTGTACATTTTTATTTATTATTTGATAAAATAAAATATTTTTGACACCCTTAATTTCAAAAAAATTTCATGTAGTTTTTAAATATGTAAATTTTATTTTTTATTTATGTACTAATATTTAAATAAAATGAATAAGAAACTTGATATTTTATCTCATTTTTTGAACTGTGGTAATAAATATTTAGGGATGGAGGGATTATCAATCTTTATATATAAAATAAATTGAAAAAAATTAAAAATTTATTTCATTTTGCGTAATGTGACAAATATTTTAGGTAAGAGAGCCTACTACTCCATAGGAGCATTGGAAATGACAAGTCAAAAGTGGAACGTTACATGAGACATTGAACATTTTAATTAATAAAAAATAGTCCAATTGGCGTATAATAAATAAGTAGACTAAACCGTCAAGCAGTCGCAAGCCATTATTTTTTCACTTTTTTTTGACATATTTTACTTAATGAAAATTATTTTCATTAATAAATGGATAAAAAGAAGAGTGATTATTAGATTTGGAGAAACACTGAGAAGGTGATAATTACGCCTTCCTCCCAAATAAAGGTAAGTAAAATTAGAATTGGAGTTAAGGGTGATAATTTATATCTGACCCGTGGTGGAAGGTGGCGGGAGACGGGTGAACATGGAAGCGGGCGGGTGGCGCAAGAGGAATGGGGTGAACAAACGATATCATGTGTAGTGTCGATTGCATTACTTAGCATATTGGATATAATTTTGGTCGGTTTTAATTTTTGGCATTCTTAAAAAATATACTTCCTCTTTCCCAAATTAATCAGTTCATCATTTTCCTTTTTATTTCGGCCCGAAAAAATTATTTAATTTATTTATTTTGTAATAAAGTACACCGTATATAATATGTGGTCTACAATCATTCTACTTCTTCTAATTAAATTTCAACTTCTTAGTTACTTTTCTCAAAGCCAAAAAAAAATGACTAATTCAAGACGAAAGGTGTAAACAAATCTACATTAAATCACATAGAAAAGAAATGGGGATGATGAACTCATTTCTGACCCAAAGATTCCTATTAATAGCCAATTTGGGGTGTTAAGTGACACCAATATCAATAATACATTTTTTCATTTCTTAGAGAGTGTTCTTTTGAGTTTAAACTCTTAACTTTTATTTTTTTTTCAATTTTTTCAAGCTTTTTCCAATTTCTTTAAATTTTTTTTAATTTCTTCCTATTTTTTTTTTTTTTTTAGTTTCTTCTAATTTCTTCTTATGTTTTTCCAACTATTCCTTTTTTCTTCAAACTATTTCTTGCTTCCCTAAACAATGACTATAAAAATAATGTATTTTCATGTTATTATTATTATATTCCTATCTATAGTTTATAAATTACTTCAATTTATTTGTTTTTTATTTTTCAAACATTACTAATTCTGTGATTTACACTTATTATTATTTTCTCTTCCATTTTGTTAACATAAAAATACATTATTGTGTGTATAAATTTACATGACACTAACCTTTCTTTCAAAAGTAATAGATAAAAGGGCTATTTTACCTATGGAATAACGTATCAATATTTTAAATTTAAGAATCATATATATACTACTACATTATGAAAAATAAAAAAATGAATCAAAAAATGTTTAAAAAAATCCATTCACAAAGAATATAGTTTCTTCTATTTTCCCAGTTTCTTTCAGTTTTTTCAATTATTTTAGTTCTACAAGTTCTTTCCAACATTCAACTCTTTTTTCTAATTCTAAAGAACATGATCTTAATACTCATTTCATTAACTAATGTTCAAAGTAGTGAATAAAGAGAGCAATATTTTGTTTTTGATCGTAATGGAGATAAAAAAATTAACAAAAACCATTCAACATTATCACGTTCAACAAAAATAATCTCACACCGTACTTTATACATTACAATAATTACAAGTTGGGTTCCAGCGTTCTGCCTTACAATAATGCCTTAGAAAAAATGATTTTTTTTCAAACAAAAAAACTAAACTACACTATGGAAAATAAAACAATCAACTAAATAAAGATGTAGAAAACCAAATTTCTACTCCGGGGTATTAAAAAAGAGTGCATCTTTGTTTGTATTTTAGAGATCGCATATTATAAAGAAATTTACCTAAATAGGATTAAAACATAGTGACTTTCCCAATTTAGGACCATATGTTTTTATTTCTCAATGTAAGACTTTTGGTCATTATCAAGTAGTCATTATTCAAGTAATGTCTTGTCTAGCATTACTGGGCATTATTCCTCCCACGAGGTCATTATTAAGTCTTATTTAGGAAATAAAAAAGTTTAAATCCTACATTAAGAAAGTCATTATGTTTTAGTTGCAAATTTCACTATTCTAATCACTTTTCAACTTTATTACTCAACCATTAAGATTTGGATTAGGTTTTTTTAATTCATTTCCAAAGTTTTCAAACTGCATTATTTATTTTCTAAAATTGAATTTCTAGAAGCTTTTTTTCTATACTCGTATTTCCAAACGCGCCCTCAAATTAAGTCATTTTCACCGTTCTTCTACATCGCGAAGCCTGGTTTTCACAATTTTCTGGTTTTCACATTTTTCTGGTTTTCCGGCGAGGAAATCTGCGAAGAGCCGCGCGGTTCCGGTCACGGCATCATATACTCCGTACATACAAATCAATTCAGAAAGATACGGATACGGATACGATACATATATTGGCAGATGAACTGAGATGGGGGCGACGGGATCGAAACTGGAGAAAGCTCTGGGAGATCAGTTTCCGGAGGGAGAGAGATACTTCGGTCTTGAGAATTTCGGAAATACTTGCTACTGTAACAGCGTCCTCCAGGTTCGTTTGCTTCTCCTTTCGATTTGGCTCCTTGAATTTTCGATCGGAAGTCTCGGAATTCGAATTTGGATTAGGTTTTGCATCTGCGGATAGGACCGCGTGATTCATGTTATTTTCTCTGTTTTTTTGTTTGGTTCTGCTAAGTACCCCTTATTTAAAAATCGGGAAGAAGAAGAGGTATGGTAAAGATAGATGTTATCACACATAAAGTATTTCTAATAATCTGGATTTTCCCTTTGATTGAACTGTGTTTTCTGTGAAGAAAAGGTAAGGGATTGCTAGAGTTTTGACTGATTTTTATGTTCCCAGCAATAGCATTGAACAATCTCACACATTATATGTGAATAGCCTTAGTTTTTTTTCTCTTGAGATACTTTTGATAAAGTGTCTAATGGTAGTAGACTAGAAGTATATGCCTATATGGCTATATGTGCAATGAACGCTTAGCATATCCCTTATTTCATGTATGCAGACTTCATGAGCAGCAGTTTTAGGCTAGCTTAGTCATCTGTAAAGCCAAATGTTGAGAACCTATGTAGCATTAGATGAAAAAAGTAAGAAAATTATCCGAAAATGATCCACTAGAGTTTATTGTTGTGATCCTATTTTAGGCATGATGGTTTTAACTGATTTCTTAGAAATCTTTCTCTTGGTTATGGGTAATATCAGAAATGGTCTTTGTGGTCTTAACTATAAATAGAAGGTTCAGTTTGGACAATATCAACAAAATGTTTATGAATATTCATGACAGCTGAAGATCTTTGAGAGGGCAGCATTGTGAAATATGCATTCCATTTCTCTCCAGACATTTCACTATTCATTTTCTTGAATATATGGTTTACCATCAGCTGCATGAATGTCTTCTTTTAAATTCATCAAAAAGGAGAGTTAATGAACAGAAGAGCATAGATTACAAATGCAGTCCATTGTGGTGAACTTAAAATTGGAGTTCTTTGACAAGTTTACATAAGAAAACAAACCATGTTTTGTCTAAACATCCATCGACTTGGTTATTTGCAAATGAAGTTGTTGCTTATGGGTAGAGCAAAACAAGTAAAAAGTAATGAAATACCGTGTTCATACAATTTATTTATGTGAAATTTGCACTAAATAGTACTAAACATATGTCCTTTCCAATGTAGTACTTAAACTTTTCTATTCTCTAAATAGTACTTAAATAATTTCTTGTGGCGGGAACAATGTCCACTGAGGGTGGACATTTAGTTTGAACAATGTCCAGCGGACATTTACTTGAACAATGACCAGTGGACATTGAACGATAATACTACATTGGGAAATAAAAACATATGGTACTACATTGCGAAAGTCACTATGTTTTAGTACCATTTAGGTAAATTCCCCTTTATTTATTCATTATGGAAAAAGTTATGTGTCGGGTCAATAAAATAAAAGTGGCAACATGTACTCTTTCTATAAGGTTCAACATTTCCTTTTTGGTTTGGTCCATCTAAACTTAGTGTGTCTATCCCAATTTAAGTAATGTGGTTCATCGTTTTTGTGTCTCCTCTCTATAAACCTAAACCAAGTAGTTTTCAATTTACTAATCATCATGTCCAGTCAAAGTGGACACTACAAAATGAGATGGATGGTGTACGTATTAGTCAATGGCATTATCATTATTTGGGGATGCACATATGTGCCATTTGAACAAGATCTCAAAACATTTTAGATTCTCATCATTATCTGACTGACTGTTCTTTTGGTTAATGCAGGCTCTGTATTTCTGTGTTCCATTTCGGGAACAGCTGCTGGAGTACTATTCAAATAACAAAAACCTCGCTGATGCGGATGAAAGTCTCTTGACATGCCTGGCAGACTTATTTATGCAGGTAAGGTTTGATGTCTTTTGATAAAGAAGTTGTATGTTTGGGCCGAAGTATTTAAACTTATCTGAGTGTCTGAACTATTACTTGTTAATACTTCTTCCTCAATGATATTGTCAGTTCTAAATTTTCTTTTCATTCCTAGTCATTTTTTGGAGAGACACTTTAGTCTTTCACTATTTTTATTGTATTGTGTTCATATCAATATGCATGAAAAAAATGGTCATAGTTGACGTCCATGGCGTGTACGGTGAGTGCTAGGTTTTTGATATGATTAGGAATTTAGAATATGTTAAAATGGCTTCTATTCCTGAATTATATTTTGAAAGAGGTGAACTGCATGGTTCTTCTTCTCATCACGTTTTATATGTTTATGTAATGTTCACAGCTTCTTAGGATATACAGCTGTGGTTGACTGATAAATAGTTTTGTATGTTGCTATTATTCCGTTTGCCCCATTTTTCACATCCCAAATTCTTTTTGAACATATGGAAAGTCACTTGTAAGAAAAACACACTGGCGAGTAGTGTGATAATTAATGAAATTTAATTTGTGTCACATAGTACATATTTTACTGTCTGTAATAATCATTTATGGAGAACATTTATACATATGCTCATATCTTTAGTCAGGGCGAAGAGGAAAAAAGATTCTACATGTTTTATTGGAATAAAGAAATGGCTTCTAATAAGGACCATGGATTCCTTCTAAATAATGACTTATGTATGAGAGTATATATATGACCAAATATCACACATCAAAGAAACATTGTGCAAATGGGTTTGAATGAAGGAATAAATTCAGAAGATCAAGGAAGTTTGCAGTTTCTAGAACAAGACAAACTCAAAAGAAAGTTAGACTTATAAAACGGACAGCAAGAGTTAAAAGTATGTGAACACATATATCATATGTTGTAATGAATAGTGATTTAACTTTTTACTTTAATCTGTGGGTTTGATTTAATTTCTGTGCAGATTAGCTCGCAAAAGAAGAAAACTGGAGTGATTGCTCCAAGACGCTTTGTACAGAAACTGAAGAAGCAGAATGAGATTTTCCGCAGTTATATGCATCAGGTGTCGTGTGAACTCTAAGAAGATTTGGTTTATTAATAATCTTTTACCTACATTCATGTCTAGACTCTAGACTTTGTTTGGTTGAAAGATTTGTTTTTTCTGGGGGGGGGGGGGTGAAGGAGTTGCGTGTGTTTGGTTGGAAGTTAGGACATAGGGCAATGTGGTGGATAGTGAAGAAGTCAAGGAGCTAAGTTCTTTTGAACTCTTTATATGTTAATCCCTCAATTTGGGGACTTGGGGAGTTTTTTGTTTCATAATTTTTTTCAATTTTTTTTAACATTATTATTCTTATACGTGCAGTATCTTCAAATACAATACTTTTAGGACCTGTTTATTTCGCCATGTATCAGTATCAGGTATGGGTATGAGAATCAAATACCCATACCACTTTTTTGGTTAAGGAAGTATCTTCTCCAAGCCCATTCCCCAACTCCCCTTACCCCTTCTGGTTATAGTTTGGAGGCCATTCCCTCATCTCCAGCAATCTCACCTTTGTGCATTATCAACACGTCTTATTTTGCATCATTTATGGCAACGTAGAGACCATGGGCATGTTCCTTCTGCTGCTCAACCTTACTATTCTTTACTGTTGTACTTTAGGTTAAAAATCTTCTTCTAGGTATGCAATTTCAGTGCACCTATATTTTGATTGCATATCCACAGCACAAGGTTTTTATAAAGAAAGTATTTAGGTATGCTAAGACATGGTTCTTATTAGATTTACTTATTTCTTTGAGAGAAAAGTTGATTGTGCACCCCATGGTTTACCTTATCATTTTATTTTGCACCCACACGATTTTTTTTCTTTGTATCCCCAAGGTGTCAACTGGGAAGTGAAGTCAAATGTTTAGGTAATGGTGGAGGTGCAGAGTCTAAAGGGAAATGCCCCTATGGGGTCTGGCCGTTTGGGGTGCATGCTGAATTTAAAAAATCATGGGGTTCAAGGCTAATACTAAGATAGACCATGGCGTGCAAAGTAAAAAAAATTCCATTCTTCAAATTTCAGTTGTTGATAATTGATGCACCCTTTGACTTGCAAAAGCCAAGGATTTGTGACACACTGCCATTGTGAAGGAGGATACACATACAATACGCTAGAATGAATCTTCCAAAACATAGAAATGTATTGGATGAAATTAAAGTTGCCTTTTTAAAAAGGTTTTCCTGTATTGACATCAAAATCTTTTTTTATAGGATGCTCACGAATTCCTGAACTACTTGCTGAACGAACTTGTTGACATACTGGAAAAGGAATCAAATGCTGCCAAGAGTGATCGAGAAACTTCACCGTCATCTGAAATTGTTTCAAATGGACCAAAGGCCATTCTTTCCAATGGTCACACAAATGGCAATCATAAGGAGCCTCTTGTGACCTGGGTGCACAAAAACTTCCAGGTAGAGTTGTATGCCCTATTATTCCTCGTATTTATGGTTCTGCTTTCAATTTTTAATAGGGCTGGCCTTAGCATAGTGTCCCTTCTGTATATATTATGGTTGGCAGGCTGGTTCTTTTGTCCAACCCCATAACCAGGGTTCTAAAAGTCAGTCTAGGGCCCTGCCCAGGTGCCTGAACACCCCAATTCTGGCCAGATAATTAGATGGCCTACATGCATGTCTTAGGCGGTCTAAATGGCGATTGGGTGTTGATCTGGTTCTACTTAGCCGTTAAAGATATTGTATAATCATTATAATTACTTTTCTTATACTACCTCCATCCTTTGACTACACATTGTGAAAAATTTTATTTAGTTATAATGTGAATTTAATATAATTGAGTTCATTTTAAGATGTAGTCTGATATATCAAATTTTATAACATTTATGTATTTAAAACTATATTTAAATTGTGGTCAAAGAGTGTCATAGTTTGATCAAAAAAATCAAACTGTGACATTCATTTCTGGACAGAGGGAGTATTAAAATACTCCCTCCGTCCCTAAATAGATTACAATTTTATTTTCTTTCTCCTCTCGATAACTTTTGTTTGTTTACGCGATTTCATTAAGTATTTGATAAAATAAAATATTCTTGTCACCTCTTGTTTTGTAGAGCTTTTGACGTAGTTTTTTAATATGTAATTTTTATATTGTATTGATATACCAATTTCTAAATAAAATGATTTCAAAAAGTAAGAAATTTTACTCCGTAACCCGCAATTTGTAATCAAATTGGGGACGGAGGGAGTATAATCTTTGCAAGTATATAGCCTACTCCAACGACTAAAATTAGGCTCGTAGTTTAAAACAAGTGAAATCGTGTGGTTAAAGATTGTGCAAAAGAGAGAAAGAATGTGAACCGCATATTTCTTTTTTGGGACGGAGGGAGGATTTTATTTTGTTTCCACAGCTACTTGATATAAGAAAAGTTGTTCTTCCGGATTTGCATATTTCAGGGTATTTTGACCAACGAAACACGGTGTTTATGTTGTGAGACTGTAACTGCAAGGGATGAAACGTTTTTCGACTTGAGCCTTGATATTGAACAGAACAGCTCAATTACAAGCTGCCTTAAGAATTTCAGTTCCACCGAGACTTTGAACGCCGAAGACAAATTCTTTTGTGACAAGTGTTGCAGGTAATACGACTGGTTACATTTAGTTTCCTTTCTCTTCCTCTCTAACCAAACAACAAAAACCATTTTCCACCTCATTTTCTTTACCTTTTCTCTCTCAAATTCCTTGAACCAAACATAATGTTAAGGTTTGCGTTATAATTCCCATGTGGTATCATTCCTTTCTTCTTCTTGTTTTTTGTTTTGGTTTGAAATTGAAGCTTGCAGGAGGCTCAAAAGAGGATGAAGATAAAGAAGCCACCCCACATCCTAGTCATCCACCTCAAGAGGTTCAAATACATTGAACAACTGGGCAGGTACAAGAAGCTCTCCTACCGCGTCGTCTTCCCCTTAGAGCTCAAGCTGAGCAACACGGTCGAGGAGGCAGACGCCGAGTACTCCCTGTTCGGCGTGGTGGTCCACGTCGGAACGGGGCCCAACCACGGCCACTACGTCAGCCTCGTCAAGAGCCACAACCACTGGCTCTTCTTCGACGACGACAGCGTGGAGATGATCGACGAGTCGGCCGTCCAGACCTTCTTTGGATCGGCGCAGGAGTATTCCAGCAACACTGACCATGGCTACATTCTCTTCTATGAAAGGGTTTCTTCTTCTGCCGCCGCCGCCACCACCACTGCCGCCGCCACCACAACCTAAGGAAAGAGGGGAAAAAAAAAGAAACAATTTTTTGTCACAGGTTCTTCCCTTTTTTTCTTTGTTAGCATTTTTAATGTTGTCTAGCCATTTGGGACTGTGGTGGGACCCTTTGTCGCGTGGGGCCCAATATATTTCAAATGTTATCTGTGTAATATCTCTATTATGAAACATTAGGCTGTGTTTTCCTTGTACAAAGGTGGTGGGAGCTAACCATTCTATTTCTATTCCAATAAAATGGGAAATTCGATCCTTTAATGTGGGGGAAAAACGTACTGCATTTGGGTTCTTGTGAGAAATTGTGTTAGTAAAGGCAAGAGTTGGTTGGAAAGATATTATAGTTTTCGATTTGTTTTCCTCTACCAAGGGGTATTTAAGTAAATCTAACTAAATTTGTTCATTTAAATGATGTTTCATGTGCGATTTTGTGATTAAACTTATAGATAAGTAGTACATGCATCAACTCAAATCCTACAATTTTATTTGAACCAAGTAAACAATTCATTTCCCCATAAAATGCATAGTCTCTTGATAAATGAAAATGTATTTTATTTTTTCACTTTCCATCTTGTAATGTAGTTTCCGTGTTAATTTTGTAGAGTTAAAAAAAAATGTTACTAGAATTTGAAATTGATGAGAATACAGAAATGTTACGAATCGTACTCTATATCATACTCTGAAAATATAAGTTGCTAAATTTTTTTGAATGTTATTGACTCTATTATAAGATAGTATCTGTTCAAAAATTCTCAACCTAATAATGATGCACAAAAAATTAATACTTCTGCTTTCGTTGAGACTCGAATCTGGATGAACTTCTCCATAAATCTTAGAATGTGGGCTTCCTACCACTCAAGCCAGGAGATAAATTGTAAGGTGTTAAGTTTATTTTCAAAGAAGTTGCAAAAAATAATTTTGCAACATTTTACGTAGCCTAAAAGATGTACAGGATAAGTCTAAATTTAAAATTTGGAACTTGAAATCTAGAAACTGAAGTCGTGAAGTAGGAACTTGGAGTCCAAAAATTAAGTAGACAACTTGAATCAAGAAATGAGATTCTCCATAAGTACAATTAAAAGTTGAGAAGGTTTTATGATCCATACGTTGGAAACAAAGTCATGAGGGGTCTTGTTACATTTGTCTGATATGAACTTTCATAATATAATTTTTTCTTACCAAAACATAATTTAGGATATTAATGATTTAAGTAAAAATAGTAATATTGTAACTATTCCAGAATGGAGAAGTATATATAGAGGGTACAATCAGGTTTTGCAAGTAATAGTAGTAAACTAGTAAGTGTACATAATCACTAACCAACTCAACACATTACAATTAGGAAACATCTAAGCTTTTATGTCAGTGAAGCTGAAAGGGCCTATATATAAACTAGAGTGACAATAATTGTATTGAACTTAAATGGGTATATATGATATATATACACACACACACACAAACACACAATGAGAGTTGGGATATAACTATATGGAAGGAAACATGATGAGTCAAGATGCCAATGACATGAAGGCATCATCATCCAACAAGGTGTCCAAGTCGATAAGATCATCGTCAAAATCACCGACTTCATTTTGATTGTTGAGAACCCTATCATAGTTGTTCTGCAAGATTAAAGGAAAGGAAGAAGCATAATAAGTATGCATTTTGGCAATGTTCAGAAGTTTTTTAGGCACTGGTGAGCGGGCGCTTGAGTGTCACTTAGCCCATCTAAGAGTGTCTTGTAGGTGTGTG